GAAGGGCAGGGCTGGCTGTGCGTGCTGGGAGCTCGGCTGCTCCATCCCCCGGCTCCCAGCTGTGCCCTGCTGCGGGATGGGCTGAGGCCTGACCAAACTCGTGGCATGCCAAGCCACATGTAAGCTGCAGGAGCTCCCAGGCCGTGTCCAGGCACAGCAGCCTGCTCCAGGTGTGCTCCTTCACCCACCTCTGGAGGGACAGGCATGCTGGCAAGGGACTGCCTGTGCTGGCTCCTCAGCCCCAGGGGTGCCAGCAGGGCAGCTGGGGAAGCCAAAGCAGGTCCCTTGAGTGCTGTGAAGTTTGGGATCCATCCTAGACCTGGTTGTGGCTGAATATCACAGCGCCCAGACAGTGCTGCTGCAGCTTCCAGCTGGACCCTGCTGCCTGGAGGGTTTGAGCCCCTGGAGAGGCTGGGTTTGGCTCCTGAGAGGCTGGTGCTGCTCTTGGGAGCTGAGGAGAGGGGAAGTGTGGTCTAGGGGCAGGATGAGGCCTGTGTGCCTCTTTCTTGGTTCAGGGTTTGAGCTTGTACCTCCCCGGATGGGTCAGAGCTGTTAAGAGCTCTGTCCATCCTGTTTGGTGAGTCCCAGGAAGCCCCTCTGGGGTCAGGGTGAGTCGTGGCCCTGGGCAGTGTGGTGACTTGTGACTGGAGCGTCCACCCTGTTCAGTGGGTGACTCAGGAGCTGGGGATGCAGCCCTGCTTGTGCTGGGGCAGATTTTGCTGCAGGCTGAAGCCAGGCATGGCTGGGACCCGATGAGAGCCGTCCTGTTCCCGGCGTCAGCAGCTCCACGCACCAAGCACTCTGCCAACACGCCTCCCTTCCAAAATAAGCTGCTTCTGGCAGCACACAGCCAGGATCTGGCTTCCAGCCCTGCTCTAGAGGGGGCCTGGAGCTGCCTCCCCCAACCTGTGCCTCCTGGCTGCTTCCCACCGTGCCACGCAGCATCCTCCCTCCCTTCTCCCTGGCACCTGGCACTCGTGCCGATTCCACGGGCTTGGATTGCCCCGGCCCCATCCCCGAGTTCCTCCTCTCTTTTGGCTTCTTTCCCCGGCTGAGCGGGGCGAGAGGCGGGCGAAGGGGCTGAGCTCCTCGGTGCCTGCAGCGGCTTCCAGGAGCGGGCAGCGGCCCTGCCAGGAAGGATGTTACTCATCCCCCAAACATCCCCTGCCCTGGACGGCAGCCACGGGAGATGCCGCGGCCAGATGCGCCCGCGGCTCCGGGGCCTGAGGTGGCCCCGGCTCGGGGATGTGCTGGGGGGCACCGATGCCATCGCACCCTCGGCTGGGATGCTGGCAGCCCCTGCCCGAGGGCAGCCCAGGCCGCGTGGGCCTTTCCCCCGCAGCGTGGCGTGGCCAGGGAGGCGGTGGGTGCCGGGCCAGGACACGCGGCGGGGACAGCAGGGACAGAGTCCGGGCTGGGGTTTCCGAGCGGCCCCGGGGCACCGGCCGGGAACGGGCACTGTCCCGTCCCGCCGGGGCGGCAGGGGGCAGCAGGAGCCCGGCCGAGCCTCCGAGCGGAGCCCCGGTGCCCCGGCCGGAGGAGCCCCCGGTGCCCCGGCCGGAGGAGCCCCCGGTGTCCCGGCCGAAGGAGCCCCCGGTGCCCCGGCCGAAGGAGCCCCCGGTGCCCCGGCCGGAGGAGCCCCCGGTGCCCCGGCCGAAGGAGCCCCCGGTGTCCCGGCCGGAGGAGCCCCCGGTGCCCCGGCCGAAGGAGCCCCCGGTGCCCCGGCCGGAGGAGCCCCCGGTGCCGGCAGTGCCGCCGCCCAAGCTCCGGTGCCCCCGCGCTGCCCGGCCCGGTCCCATCCTGCCGGGACACTGCGAGGAGCCAGATGCTCCCTCCAGCCTCTCTCCTCCTCCTTCTCCTCTTCCTCCTCCTCTGATCCCCCCAGCGCTGCCTCCCCCACTCCCTTTAATCGACGTTTCCGCTGAAATGCGCCGGTTCCACGGATTTCTTTGATCTCGCTAAGGGAAGAAGGGAGCTATAGAAGAAATTAAATCGGCGCAGAAGGAGGAAAGGGGAGAGGAAAGCACTCTCGGGAGAGGTTGTTAAATGTCGCCTCTTTCTCACCAGAGCATCAGGCAAGAAAGAACCTGTCCTCGCCCGTGCCTGTCCCGGGTCACCTGCGCCTGGCGCTGGCCGGGGATGCCCCTGGGCCGGGCAGGCGCTGGGGTGGCACCGCTGGTGCCGTCCCCGCCGCGCAGGAGCCCCGGCCCCGCCGGAGCCTCGCTGGCATGCGGGGAGCTGGCAGGCGAGCCCGGGGAAGCAGCCAGAGGGTACGAGCAGCAGTTTTGTTTTCTGCCGCTTGCCAGGGACGGGCTCTCGGCAACGCCTGGCTGCCGAGCCCCGGGCCCTGCGGGGTGCCTGCATCTTCCCCACCGGCCCTGGCTGCTGCCCAGGGGCAGCTCTGAGGGGTGAGCGAGGTGTTCTGGCTCCTTTCCTACCGAGCCACGGCTGCACCGCCGGGCTCCCGGTGGCTGCAGGTGCCGCCGGTCACGGCAGGGATCGCCCCGGTGCCGGCCGGTCCGTGCCGCCGGGGGCCGCGGCCGAGCGCTGCCTGCCGGGCACGCACCGAGCTGTGAGCCGGGTCCTCGCCTCTCCCCGGCCCCTCTGCCCGTGCCGGCCTGCACAGCGAGAGCAGCCGTGGTGATGGGTGGCACTGCCAGAACCTGGGACCAGGGACTGCTGCTGGGGACACGGAGGTGGCACTGACAGGATTTTCCTCTTCAGTGCTGGAATGGTGTTTCCCCACCCCTGCCAACATCCTGCAGCCAGGAGGGACAGCCCAGCCTGTCCCTAGTCCCATATCCCGAACGCCTGAGGCCTCTCCAGCACAGCACAGAGTGCGGGGATGCTGCAGGGGGCTGTGCCTGGGGCAGAAGGGATCAGCAGCATCCTGCCAGGGCCCTGGCTGGGGTCCCTTCTTCTCTGCTGCGTTCTCTTCTTCTCCCTTGGTCTCTCCACTCAGCCAGGCCCTCACGTGTCTTGGCCCCCTCAGCCCCATGGTGTAACAGGGACAGGATTCCCAGGCTGGAGAGAGAGGTTTAGAACAGACATGGTGCCTCAGTCCAGCCTTCAACTGCCTTTTTTTTCTTTTTTCTATTTTAATATTTTGCCTTAACATGACCTTGGCCAAATTATTTCCCCTCTGTTTGAGATTTATGGGCCTCTTCCAGAAATGATCTGTTCTGTCTACGAAAATAGACACCGTGCTGTTATTACATTTTAAAATATAATAAGGCTTGGGAGATTGCTCTTCTGCTGCTCTCCCCAGCAGCTCCCCTCTCTCTCCAGAGCACAAACCCCGCTGGTTGCAGGTGTGGGGCCAAGAGTGGTGCAGTGAGAACAGGGGCATCCCCAGCTCCAGAACGGGGCAGTCTCTCCCTGCCTGCCCTCAGCAGAGCTGGAGTAACGGGAGATCTCCCATCTGAGATCACAGCTGCTCTCAGAAAATCCCGGGGCTGCCAGAGAACAGACTGGGCAAAATGGGGCTAAACGAGCTGGGCTTCCCACCGTGGGACTGGGGACGATCCCCGACTCAGTCAAGGCAGCAGAACCCGGCTGGAAGCTGGAAAATTCTGCTCCCAGCCTGAGGGGCAGCACAGCCCATCACCCCCAGGAGTCCTTCGGGCAGGCACAGGGTGGCCCTCGCACAGCCCTGCTCTATCTCAGTGGCTTTGCTGAGGTTATGATTGTTATTGTTCTTTTCTTCCAGGGGCTGGAGGCAAGTTCCCGTCGCTGAGGAGGGGCTCTGCTTCTCCCAGCTCTGCTGGCAACCGGCGCCAGTGGCCAGCCATGGTCTGTCCCATGAGCTGAGCCATCACTGCCTTTGGACGGCGACAGCACCACGAGGATGGAGCTGTGGTAAGGAGGAAAAGGCTGCTGGCCTGTTCCTGGATTAAGGTTAAAGAGGGGGAGAGGCTCCTCACAGCTGCTGCTCCTCAAATGTTTTATTTCCTGCTCAGTGTAAGCCTGGATTGACCTGCAGCAGCAGAAAATGTCGAGCAACCACCGATCTCCCTGAAAGGAGTCAAACCACCCGAAAATCCACGAGGAAGCCCGAGTGGGTTGTGTGCACCCCGGCCTTCTGGTTGGAAACACGGGGAGCTCTGGGAGGACGGTGCCAGCGCTGCTGGGGATGCGGGGCCGTTGTAGGGCTCTGGGACAGGGCCATGGGCGGCCCTTTCCCATCCCAAAGGACGTGGGGTGATGGCAGGGAGCTGGGGGCTGTCAGAGCCCTTTCCTGGGGCTGAGAAACAGGCCTGGCCCAGGAGCCTTGCCCTCTGGCAGAGGGATGCTGCCGCTCCCGCCATCACACGGTGCAGGGAATTCCCGGTGAGGCGGGACCTGCAGCCCGGGGAAGGATGTGTTGGTGGTGTCGGGGTCGTTTATTTTCTTAATTTAAAAAAAAAAAAAAAAAAAAAAAAAAAAAGAAAAAAAAGAAGAAAACAACAAAGAGGCCGGGGACGGACACGGAACGGGACACGACGACTTCTTGTGCTTACCAGCAAAAAGCCCCGAACCCGAAGCCGAGCGGCCGCTGCCCGGGACAGCGGCTCCGGTGCAACCTCCCGGCTCCGTTTTCGGGCCAAGCCGCGGTTCCAGAGGCGGGGGTCCTCGCTACGGGGCTGGGAGGGGCCGTGCCGCGCCCCGGGATCCCGCGTGGGGCGGCGGGCGCGGCCCGTGCCCGGTCCCCTCTCGGTCCCGTCCGGTCCCCCGGCCCCGCAAGGGTTAAACCGCGGCGCCGCCCCCTCGTTCTCCGCTCGGCCTCCCTTGATTGACACCCCGCGCGCCGGCCGGGCCCGGGCTGGCCAATGGGGAGGCGGCTCCGCGCGCCCCACGTGGGGGCGGCCGCCCTGGGCGCGCTCCCATTGGCTGGCGGCGGGGGCGATCGCCCGCACGGGCCAGGCCCCACGTGGAGCTGGCGCTCGCGCTCGTTCATTGATCGCGCTCCGCAGAGCGGCGGCCGCGCGGGCGGGGCGGGGCGGGGCGGGGGCTCGGCCCGGCTCGGCTGCACTCGGCTGCACTCGGCTCGGCCCGGCCCGGCTCGGCCCGGCCCGGCTCGGCTCGGCTCTACCGGGCTCGGCTCGGCCCGGCCCGGCCCGCCCCGCCGCAGGGGCGCGCGCCTGGGGCCGGGGCCGGGTCTGGGACCCGCAGCGCGGTGAGTCCCGTCCTGTTCCCGTCCCGTCCCGTCTCGTCCCGCCGCTCCGGCCCGGCTCGGCTCGGCTCGCTGTGCGCCGGCCGGGGTCCGGCCCCGCTTGGGGCTGGGTCGGCGGCGAGGCCGGTGCCGCCCCGCGGCCGTACCTGCGGCGGGCGGCGGCGGCGGGGCCATTGTCTGCGCGGCGCGGGGGCCGGGGCTGGGCGGGTCCGCGGAGCCCGGGGGCAGCCCCGGGGCTCTCGGTCCCCGCGGGAACGGCGCGGGGCGGCCGCGGGCGGGGCCGCGGCTCCCGCAGGGCCCCGGGCAGCGCCGGGCGGTGACCCCCGCGTTCTTCTCCAGGGCCTGATCCGGAGCTCGGAGCAGTTTCCAGGCCCTGTCCCGGACCTGCGGCGGGGCGGCCGGACGGTCCCGGGCCGGTCCGGTGCCGAGGATGTTCCCGCAGAACAGGCCCCCGGTGAGCCCCCGTCCCCTCGCAGCGGTGCCACCCCGGGGCTCGCGGGCTGCGCCCCCAGAGCCCGGCTCCCCCCCCGGTGCTGACCGACGCTGGCTGCCGGTGCTCGTGATGCTCGGCGGCGGTGCTGTGGCTCTTCCCAAAGCGGTGCTGAGCCCCAGCGCGGCGGGTCTGGGCTTTGGGGCGTGCTGGGAGCGGGATTCACCGGGCTGTGATGGTGGGACGGTGATGGACAGGCAGGGAGCTCAGGAGTGTGGCAGCTGGGTGAGGACGGGCCACCAGGTCTGTGCCATGCCCAGTGCCACCCGTGGTCATTAATCCTTTCTGGCTCAGTGGTCCAACTGATGCTGGCAAGGCCCTTGGTGCCTGGTTGTGACCAGTTGCCTCTCCCAATAACTCCTTGTGCAACCTCCTGCATGTGCTGCTCTCCCAGATGTGCCCATAGCCTCTTCCCTGGGTGCAGGAATGCCCTGGGGGATGTGCCAGCCTTGCTGGGCAGCAGCAGTGACCCTGCAGGTCCCATCTCTGCCTAGGCTCATCTCCAGGCACCCTCTGCTGCCTCGGGAGCCGCTGTTGCTGCCAGTGCCATCCCCAGCACCCCCCAGTCCCTCAAGCTGACTTACCCAGAGACCTTGGATCGCATCAAGGAGGAATTCCAGTTCCTGCAGAACCAATACCACAGGTGAGAAGCTGCCAGAGTTCACATGCCAGCTTGTGAACTGGGCACTTCACTGGTGCTGGCCAGCCACAGGCTCCTCTTGGCACTGGGCAGCACCATCCCCTGTGGCTGCTGGACTGGTCCCTCCAGAGGATGGCTGTGCCAAGCATCACCTTGGTAGCTTGAAATGACTCTGTTTGAGGGCAAAACTCAACCTTTGCCTGCCAAAAGCCCTGGGAGGAGGTGCTGGCATCCAGCACCCAGTTGCTGGGCTGAGCCAGAGCCATCACTTAGACCTGGAGACCCTCTGATCCGTGAGGTTTCTGCCCAGGATCACCTCTCTTTCCTCATGCTGCACGGGGCAGAGCGAGGTTTGAAATGCAGCTAAGCTTTGCAGCTCACTCCATTTGGGAAGCAGATGCTGGGGAGGGGGTTAAGAGTCCATGCAAATTGCTCCCTGATGCCCAGAACCCTTTGGTGTCCACCTCCTCTTTATCAGCCCCTTCCTGCCCTCTTTCAGGTGGTTTTCTTGGCTTGTGCTGGGAAATGGGATTGAAGCTGAGAGGAGGCTGAAGTGTGTGGTACACTGGGAGGGCTCATGCTCTGTCCAGCCAGGGACATCCTGTCACTTGGGAGGACCAAGGGGGGTTGCTCCTTCTCCCTTTCTCTCTTTATTTTCACAGCTTGAAGTTAGAATGTGAAAAGCTGGCAACAGAAAAAACAGAAATCCAGCGTCATTATGTCATGGTTAGTGAGCTCCACCTGAAAGGAGAAGGGTGGTGTGGGATCTCCTCTGAACCATCAAAGGACACGCAGGGATGCTTTGCCTTCCTCTTGCTTTTGGGTTGTGTGGCCAGGCCCTGAGATCTGGTTCTTGTGGCTGTTACTGTCTGGTTTTCCCCCAAAAGGGGCTGTGGTGTTCGAGCAGGACTTTCTGCCTCAGCTTGTGGTGGCAAACGTGCTCCTGTGTGGGTTGCCCCATTGCTGCAGGAGTCTTGGGAGGGCTGTGTCCATCCTGGGGGCTGCAGCCATGTGCCAGGGACACCTCTGCTCCTGGGAGAGGAGCTGGGGACCCTGTCGTCCCCATGGCCTGGCCACACCACGACTGTTTGTGGCCAGGCTGACCTGGTGTGCCAGCACCACAGAGGAATTTCTGCTTGGGAGCTGCCCTGGTCTCCAGAGCCGTGCTGATGCTGCCTTCTCTCCCTCACAGTACTACGAGATGTCCTATGGCCTGAACATCGAGATGCACAAACAGGTGAGTCTGGGTGGGCTGGGAGCTCTGTCCACCTCCTTGGTCCCAGCTCCCTGGCCCCACTTTGCCATCTGGGCTCTTCAGGGCTGTCCCCACAGTCAAGCTGGGAAGCTGCTCCCTGCTGTAGCCCAGGAATCCCAGTGTTTGTGGGGGATGTGTCCCCTTCCCTGTGCTTTGTGTTGCTCTGTGCCATGGCCGTGGCTGCTTCCTTAGGTCCCCACACACGTCTGTGCTCTGGTTTCGGGTTCAGGGTGCCCTGCTGGACTGTGATGGTCTCGTTGTGTCAGGCAGAAAGTGGTGGTGGAGGATTTGTTCTTGCATGGCTGCTCACAGTGGTTACGAGTGGTCACGGGGTGGCTGTTGGGAAGGAGACTGGCTTCCTCCTCAGGGCAAGGTGGGCTGCAGGGTCACAGCAGGCTGATGTGCTCTGGCTCGAGCACTGTCTGCTGCCCACTGGCCCAGGGACCAGGGCTGAGGAGCATTCTGAGGAGCAAGAAGGGTCTGGGGTGGGTGCAGGGTGAGCTCTCTGGGGGCTCAGAGCTGCGCATCCTCCCTCGCTGCTTCCCCGTCCCTCCCTCCCTCCCTCCCTTCCTCAGCTCCCTCCCTTCCTCCCCTGTGCCGAGCTCTGGGTCACCAGCTGCTCTGAGACAGAAGGTTTCTTCTCATCTATTTTTAAAGAGGCTGCGGAGGAGCCTGGCGAGGCACTGCCGCCTTCCTGCCCGCCCCGCGCCCGCCGACGCCAACTGTTGCGCGGGCACCGCGGCGGTGCTGCCCCTGGCCCCAGCACAGGACAGGCTGTCATCCCCCCTGCCAGCTCTGTGCCCGCTGGCAGGGTGTTCTGCCACTCTGGGATGCCCTCCTTGTCCCGGCATCCCCGCTGAGGCTTCGGGCCGAGCTGCCCTTGTGAGGGACGATGCCCGGCCCGGAGCCTCTCCCTGGAGGGCTGCGAGCTCCTCTCCTCTGGCTGCTGCTCCTCTCCCAACCCTCTCAGGCTCGTGTTTTCTGCCAGCCCCAGGTGCCGCTGGCTGCAGGCCAGTGAGCTGTCGGCACTTTTAACAAGGGCCCGTAAGTCTGCTCTGACAGCCAGCGGCCATTGTGTGGGCAAGGGGAGCTGGCGGCGCGGAGCCGAGGGTTAGCGCTGCCCTGGGGGGACTGGGGGGCTGCCTCTCCTCCCCTTCCCCCAAATCCTGCGCTGCCCACGGGCACGGCAGGTCCTGAGCGCTCCTGGCTGCCCCAGAGCCCCGATGGCCATGGACTGAGGCTGGGCAGAGCCGTGCTCTGGCCTCTGTCCTTGCTGTCCCCGTGTCCCCAGGTGTTCATCACCAAGGGCCAAGGCGTGGGGTTTTGCTCTGGGTTTGTTTTTGGGGGAAATGGGGCTGGGGGCTGCCTGTGGTGGTGCAGCTCTCCAGGCAGCCACAGGCTTGGCAGGAGAGGATCAAGACAGGAACGAGCAGGAGACATTAATTTTTTTTTTATTGTTGCTTTGTTTTTGGCATGGAAAGGGGCCTGTAGCTTTCTATAAAAGCACCTCCCCGAATCTGCCTGGCCTTGGACTTACTCACCGCGAGCCAGAGGGGAGGCGACGGTGCTGGTGGCTGGGGGGGCTGCAAACAGCGTGATCATTTTTCATGCTGAGAGCGTTAAAGTGCCAGTAAATTGCACATTAACGAGTGCGAGTGAATTGGAGGCAGCTCTCCCCAAGGAGCTGCTGCCCATCAGTGCATTAGGGAAGAGAATCCATCACTGCCGGCCCCGGGAGACAGCTAAATCCTTCCCAGAACTGCCGGCTGCCAAATCTCCTTGCTCCCCCCTCTTCCTTTCTTTTCTTTCTCTTTTTTCCTCCCTCAGAAGGGGAAGTGAGGGCAGGTGCCAGATTGTTTCTGTGCTTTGGGGCTGGCAAGAGCAGGTCGGCAGCTGCTCCGGAGGGCAGCACAGTGTCCCTGGGCCTGTGTCCCCACACCAGCCGTACCCCCTCACCCTGGCACCTCAGCACCTGCACCAGCTGGGGGTGGGAGATGTGCCCGAGGTCATGGCAGGGAAATCCAGGGGTCAGTTCTGTCCCTGGGGCACTTCAGCTTTTGGTCTCGTCTGGGGGCCGATAAGGGGGTCTGGGTTCAACCCCCTCCTCTCAGCCCCTGCTCCACAGTGTTGTCATCCTCCCCACCAGGGTGGACAGGGAGCTCCTTGGGGCTTGGGACTGCATCTTACCTGCGCTCCTGTGCCCAGGATATCCCCTGCCCATCCAAGAACAGAGGAATCCCTCCCCCAGCTGGGCTTAGGGACAGCTGCTGATCTCTGTCCCCTCTCTGGGGACGAGTCCCCAGCTCCTCATGGGCGTCTCTGCTGTTACCTCGAGCAGTGTCTGCTCTCTCGGCCATGTGCAGGGACAAGATCCTGTCCCCGCAGCCTTTGGGGCATCTTTGGGTTGTGTCTGAGATCTGTGCTCTCCTCTCACCTGAGCTGTGCAGGGTGGGGCTGGTGGGGGCCCTGGAAGCTGGCAGGGGGTGATACAGGAATATGGGGCACTGGATGATGCCAGGGGGGTGATACAGGAATATGGGGCACTGGATGATGCCAGGGGGTGATACAGGAATATGGGGCTCTGGAAGATGGGAGGAGGATGCTATGGGAACATGGGGCACTGGATGATGCCAGGGGGTGACAGGGGAACATGGGGCACTGGAGGATGGAGGAGGATGCCATGGGAACATGGGGCACTGGAAGCTGGCAGGGGGTGCCAGGGGAACGTGGCACAGCACAGCACGACGCTGCTCTCCCTCCCCGCGCTCTGTGCTCTTGATTGCCTGTGGCACTCGAGTGTAGCAGAAAAACAGCAGCTGGAAGGAGAGCACCTCTCCAGGGCTTCCTCTGGGCTGGGAGGGCGCAAGTGGAGGGCGTGGTGCCGGCAGGAGGCTGCTTGGAGGGCAGGGGGGAGCCTGCAGGGGCCATGGCTGCTGGCCTGGGGGCTTGCCTGGGGGTGGCCTCGGTGGCATGGGCCAGGGGGGCTTCATGTCCCTGCCAGGGAGGAGCTGGAAGGGTCCCAGAGCTCTCAGGGTGGGGATGGAGTATGCTGGGTTTTGAAAGAGGTGTTGTTAGGAGCAGGAATTGTTGCCCCAGGGTGTTTTTGCTGTAGTGCTGAGCAGCAGCCCTTGGGCTGGGTGTCAGCACCCTGAGACTGCCCGGGCCAAGCAGCCATGGTGAGGGGGCTCTCCTGGCAGCATCGGAGCCCCTCAGCCTGGGGTCTGCTCTGCCCCTTGCCCTGACGGGCTCTGTCTCTCTTCCCCTGGCAGACGGAGATCGCCAAGCGGCTCAACGTGATCTGCGCCCAGCTCATCCCGTTCCTGTCTCAGGAGGTGGGTGAGCCCTCGGGGCCAGCCAGGTGTGCAGAGCTCCTCTGGGGCCCAGGGAACAAAACGAGCCTGCCCCAGCCTGCCCCAGCCCCTCTCTTCTCTCCCCACAGCACCAGCAGCAGGTGGTCCAGGCTGTGGAGCGAGCGAAGCAGGTGACTATGACCGACCTGAACGCGGCCATCGGGGTACGTCAACCCTCTGCCCCCACTTCCCGCCACTCCAGGGCCAGGGCTGAGGGGCTCTGGCGTGCTGGCACCTCCCAGGTTCCTGCCATCCCTGAGCTGAGACCCCTCCTGCCCCTGGCTGCAGCCCCTGCCCCTCGTGCAACTGAATGGAGGGGAGGAGAGAGGCAAACCAGGCTGGTTTGGGGGCTGCCAGCAGGACTCGGGGTGCAGGAGATGCAGCTGGGGGTGGGGGTGGTGGCTGGCGTGTGTCACTGTGTCCTGACACCCTGTGGCCTGCGTGTAAGGGGGTAACCACCATCCCCACTCAACTATTCTCCCAAGAATGCAGCAGGTCCCCATCCAGCCCAGGGTGGGGGGGGTCGGTGGGAGGGATGTGGTGGCCCCCAGAACATTATTGGGGACACCCTGAGTACATGCCCTGCCCCTCCACACCCAGGCCCTGTGGTTGACTGACCCTGGGCTGCCTCTTGCCCCTCACTTGCCCGGCAAAGTGCTGGCACAGCCCTTTGACTCTGCTCTCTCCTCTCCTCTCCAGCACCAGCTGCAGACCCAGCACCTCTCGCACCACGCTCCCCCCATCCCGCTGACCCCCCACCCCTCTGGAATGCAGCCCGCTGGCCTCGCTGGCATCAGCAGTGCCTCGGGGCTGCTGGCACTCTCGGGGGCACTGGGGGCCCAGGCCCAACTCCTCGCCAAGGAGGACCGAGGAGTCCATGACACAGAGCCCAGGGGTGAGTGTGGGGGGAGCCAGAGCTTGGGGTGCCTGGATCTGAACCTGGGAACAGTGGGGCTCCCTTTGCTGCCCATGCCCTTCTTACCTGGGCACTTCCCTGGGGTAGGGGCCACTTGTCCATGCCTCAGGGCTGCCAGCTGGGCTGGAGGGGCAAGGGGCTTGCAGCTGCAGGGGGTTTGGGTGGGAGCATCCTCCACTGACCAGCACCCTCGTGGGAGGGTGGTGAGGTGGGGCTGCTGGCGGAGGCTCTAGGACCACCCTGCTGCTGTCGTGCTGGTCTGGCCCTGCTGTGAACGCCCCAGCACCCATGGGTGAAGTGGGGGCTTCCCTGGGGGGCTCTTGGCGGTGACACAGCATATCCCCCTTTCCCTCCTCCTCCTCCTCCTCCTCCTCCTGCTGCTCCTCTGCGTTGCCACAGCGACAGACCGAGACCCCGGCCCCGTAAGTGCCTTTTTCTTCTCTTGCACCATTCTGTGGTGGCAATGGCTGTGCTCAGGACACAGGGCTGGGCTGGGGCCCTCCATGCTCCTGGAGGCAGCCCTGCCTTGGTGCTGCCTGTCCCAGGAGCTGGGCAGAGCCACTGACACTGTGCCTCACCCCAGAGCTCCCTGGCGCTGTCGAACGGGGAGCGCGCACGAGCCATCGCCGAGTACCTGAGCAGCAGCAAGAAGAGGAAGGTGGAGGAGAAGGACTTTGTTACAGACTATGTGAGCCCGGGGCTGAGGGGCTTGGGGTGACCCCATCCTCTCCCGTGGGGTGAGGAATGGAGCTGCCTGTGCCTCTGGCACAGCTCCAGGCAGGAGTGAGGGTGGCTGCAGCCCCTCTGGCTCCAACCGTGCTCCACGTTGCAGGGCAGCGATGCAGACAAAAGTGAAGACAACTTGGTGGTGGATGAGGTCAGTGTGCTGGGACACTGGGAGGGGTCTGGGTCAGTGTGTCCTGGGATACTGGGAGGGCTGTGGGGTCAGTGTGTGCTGTCCATCTCTGAGGCTGGGACTAACAGGCAGAGGTGGCCATCACAGGGAAGTGCCAGTGGCAGCTGTGCTCCCTGATCCTCGCAAGCAGCAGCAGCGAGCCCCAGGATCCAGGCTGGCATCCTGGCCATTGCCTGAGCCACCAGCTCCCCTTAACCTGGGACATCCCTGCTCTCCAGCCTGCTCTGCTCCCTGCTGATTTCCCTCCCTCCCCAGGACCCCTCTTCCCCGCACAGCGTCCACTCCTACTCGTCCCGGGAGAACGGGGTGGAGAAGGTCCCACTGGGCAGGAAGGAGGCCGTGCCCCTCAGTCCGACCTCCATGGCCTCCTCCAGCAGCACGTCCCCGTCTCGGAGCAAGGATGCACCCACGGTACGTGTGACTTGTGCCCTTGCTGCCTGGGCTCAGCTGGCAGAGTGGCCGTGGGACCCCCGCCTCCAAAGCCATGGGGCAAAGTGCTGGAGGGACAGGGAGGTCCCACAGACCCTTCAGCACTGTCTGGGCTGGGCTGTCACTGAGGGGGAGCCAACAGGGACCCCCTGGCAGAGGCGTGGTGCAGTTGCCACCTCCCCATTGTGTTCCTGGCAGGTGGAGAAGGCAGGAACGCCCAGCCTGAAGTCCAGCACCCCCACCTCCCAGGGTGACACCCTCCCAGGCTCCAGCAGTGCCCAGCAGTTTCGCCCCACCGCTGCCAAGGTCCCCGTGGACCCTCTGGGTGAGCTTGGCCCCGCTGGGGCCTGGGTGGGTCTCCAAGCTCTGTCTCCAGGGCCCCATCCCTTCACTCTGCCTCTTCCCCACCAGCCCTGGGCCTGAGGAATCCGCTGGGAGTGCAGAGCCCCTACTCGGCCGCCTTTGGCTTGGCCCACCCTGCGGTCAACGGGGACGTGGCCGGGACGGGCGCCTACGCCAGCCTGCACCTCATGTCCCCGCAGCTCAACGGGGCCGCGGCCGCCGTGGGAGCCGGCGGCTACGGGCGCTCGCCCCTGGTGCGTGACCGGGTCCCTGCGGGGCTGCGGGGCCACGGAGGGTGAGCCCCTCTCACCCGCTGTCCCCCGCAGGTGGGCTACGACCCGCACCCACACATGCGCGTCCCGGGGCTGGTGACCGGCATGCAAGTGGGGACCTCGGGCAAGCCGTGAGTGGGGCTGGGCTGGAGGGGCTGCGCCGGGGGAGGGGGTGTGGTGGTGTGTGGGGATGAAGTTGGGATGTGTGGACGAGCTGCGGGCAGCAGGGGTGGGGAGCACAGCCTGAGGGAAAGCTGGGCTGTGGTTTTTGTGTGCCCAGCTGGCATCGCTGGGTGTGTTTTGCTCATGGTTCTGACTCCAAACTGTGCTGCTTGTGTTGGACCCGTTTGGCACTGGCTGCTGTCCATGCAGGATCTCCCTGCTCTGCTTCTCCCTGCTCTACTCTGCTTCTCCCTGCTCTGCTTCTCACTGCTCTGCTCCCTTCCAGTGCCTACTCCTTCCACGTCAGCGCCGACGGGCAGATGCAGCCGGTGCCTTTCCCCCCCGACGCCCTGATCGGCTCCGGCATCCCCCGGCACGCGCGGCAGCTGCACACCCTGACCCACGGCGAGGTGGTCTGCGCCGTCACCATCAGCAACTCCACGCGACACGTCTACACCGGGGGCAAGGGCTGCGTCAAGGTCTGGGACGTGGGGCAGCCGGGCACCAAGACAGCCGTGGCTCAGCTGGACTGCCTGGTGAGGAGGAGGAGGAGAAATGCCTTTGGGCTGGGGCTGGGAAGAGCAATGTGGAGGGGACAGAGGGGCCTTTCACATCTGCAGTGTCTCCTGCAAGGCCCTGTGTGCTCATCATGTGCTCCTGGCCCTGTTGCCTGTCACAGAACCGTGACAACTACATCCGTTCCTGCAAGCTGCTCCCCGACGGCCGCAGCCTGATCGTGGGCGGGGAGGCCAGCACCCTGTCCATCTGGGACCTGGCAGCCCCCACGCCCCGCATCAAGGCCGAGCTCACCTCCTCTGCCCCCGCCTGCTACGCCCTGGCCATCAGCCCTGACGCCAAAGTCTGCTTCTCCTGCTGCAGCGACGGCAACATCGTGGTGTGGGACCTGCAGAACCAGACACTGGTGAGGTGAGTCCGGGCAAGGGGCAGCATGGGCAGGACTGCTGGGGCTCCTCGGGCCAGGGACCCCTCAGTCCCCTGCAGCACATCCCTGTGTCTAGCCCTGGCCATGGGACAGTGCCTGTCCCTGCAGCTCCTCACTGCTGGGTGCTGCAGGAGCTGGCTGCCCTGACAGCTGTGCCCTCGCCCTCTCCATCCCCCTCTTTCCCAGGCAGTTTCAAGGTCACACGGATGGTGCCAGCTGCATTGACATCTCCAACGATGGCACCAAGCTGTGGACAGGGGGACTGGACAACACCGTGCGCTGCTGGGACCTGCGGGAGGGCCGGCAGCTGCAGCAGCACGACTTCAGCTCCCAGGTAGGGCTGGAGCCCTCTGGCAGCACCCTGGGGCCAGCTGAGACCTGCTGGGCCACTGTGTGAGCCTGTCTGTGCCCTCAGATCTTCTCCCTGGGCTACTGCCCCATGGGGGAGTGGCTGGCGGTGGGCATGGAGAGCAGCAACGTGGAGATCCTGCACGTCAGCAAACCCGACAAGTACCAGCTGCACCTCCACGAGAGCTGCGTCCTCTCTCTCAAATTCGCCTCCTGCGGTAGGCACTCCTCTCCTGGCCCCCCTTGCTCTGGAACCTCGTGGATGCCACCTCTACTTCCGTCTGTGTGTCACAGGGCTCGTTGCACTGTGGGCAAGCATTTGTTCTGGTAGCCAGCCCTGTCCCCAGTGGTGAGATTAGAGGAGGGATATCCATCCCTCTTGGAGCAGTGCTGGCTGCTGGAGCCAAACTCCTCTTTGTGTTCCCTTGGCTCATGGCTGGCAGAGCTGTGGCTGCCTCTCTCCGTGTGTTTCACAGCCTGGGCAGGATCTGCTGCTGGGATCCAGCTCTGTCCTGGTGTGGTGACATGAGGCTGCTTTGTCCCTCCACAGGGAAGTGGTTCGTGAGCACGGGGAAGGACAACCTGCTCAACGCCTGGCGGACACCCTACGGAGCCAGCATCTTCCAGGTGGGCAGCCAGCAGGGCTGGGGGTTCCTGGGTTGAAGGAACGGCCCCCAAACCCAGCTGTAATTGTGTGTCAGCCCCATAAACTCATCCCTGCAGCCTCCCCAAGGAGTGGGGGTTGGCACCTTGCTCTGGGGCTGCTTCTTGTGCTTACCCCTGTTCTCTGCAGTCCAAGGAAACCTCCTCAGTCCTCAGCTGTGACATCTCCACGGACGACCAGTTCATCGTCACAGGCTCAGGGGACAAGAAAGCGACAGTTTACGAGATCATTTACTGAGCCCCAGAGGTGCCAACTGCGGGACAGGCAGGTGTCCACGGGGATGGACAGGTGGACTCTACCTGCCCTGCTGCTTACTTCCCAAAGAACATGCAGCCAGTGGCTGTGGCATCCCAGCTGGAAGAGAGCAGAGAGGGGTGGAGGTGACCCTGGGACCGTGGCCAGGCATGGTGCAGGCCGCTGCTCGGGGTGGATTTCCTGGGGACTTTCTCCTTGTTTTGTTCTTTGTGGGTTTCTTTCTAAATCTAGACTGTGGGAGTTGGAGATGGTGGGGGGGGGAGGTCTGGCATTGTTAAAGGTTTTGTTTGGGTGCTTTTTTTATTTTTGTTTTTAAATTTTGTTGTGGGGTTTTTATTTGTTTAAGGCTCTGGGCCTGCCAGAGTGGATGGGCTCCAGTCTCACTTCCCTCTGTGCCTCCCAGGGTGTATTTAATAATAAAAACAAACAAACAAAAAAAAGGCAGCTGTGCCTTGTCCTGGGCAGTGGCCTCGATGCTCTGTGGGGCTGGGATGGAACCAGGTGGGAAGGGGTGACACCACGGCAGGAGCCTTGTCCCTTTTGGTCACATCTGGCTGCTCCTTTCCTGCGCTGAGGGAGCTCCCGAGTGGGCAGAGCCCATCCTTGGCCCTGGCAGTGGTGGGGAGCAGGAGCCAGCGTGGGCACAGAGCGGTGCTGGCTCTGCAGTGCCCCAGTGGAGCAGCCTCGGGCTCCGTGGGTGTGGAGGAGAGGAGAGGCTGGCGCTGGAGGAAGTGGTTTTTGAAGGAAATGAGATGTGAGCACTCAGCGCCTGCCTTATCAGTCTGGCTGCCCGCCAGCACTGCCGTGGGCAAGCAGGGCTGCTCCCAAGAGCCTTGGGCTGGCAAGGGCTGCGGTGTGGCAGCTGCTCTGGGCTCCTACCCCAGCCACAGCTCACCACAGGCACCACAGAGCGCTGCTGGAGCTGGAGCTGCCATGGCAGGCCAGCAGCCACACCTCTGCCACGCTGGGAGCATCCTCCCCTGTGCTGCTGGCCAAAAACAGCCCCCCAGGACACCCTTCAGAGCCCAGCCCTTGGCACAGCTGGCAGCACTGGCTGGCAAAGATCCTTGCTCAGAACAAGCCCAGCCCTTCTTTTGTTCCTTTTTATTAGTAAGGGACTGAAAACATAGTTAAATACATTTCTTTACTGATAATTTACAGCTGTTTCTGCAGCAGAAAATGGGTGCCATTAAGTCAGTAGCAGTAATTCAGGACACACACACTCTCGGGCTTTGTCCAGCTCCCTGAGGGACAAACAGGGCCCAGGATGTCCAGCCCAGCCAGGCTACACCGAGCCCTCACCTCCAGCCTCGTGCAGGAATGGGGCAGGAGAATGGGGCTGGGGCCTTGGTTTGGTGTCTGAAAGCAGTGGAGGAGGAGGAGGAAAAGTGAAGTTGCAGGAGGACAGGTCCAGCACTGGAGGCCTCTGTGAGCCACGGTGGCTTAGGGCAAGGTGTGTCCCCTTTCCTGATGGTGACTGGAATCAATAAACCACCTCATACACTGTGGCCTTCTTGTCACCAGAGCCCGTGACGATGAACTTGTCGTTGACAGAGATGTCACAGCTCAGGACAGACGAGGACTCCTTAGACTGTGAGAGGGCAGGAGGTGAGAGCAGGGCTGGTGCTGGAGCCACCATCATGCCCCTGCACAAAGGCCTCAGCCCACCTGGAAGATGCTGGCTCCGTAGGGCGCCCGCCAGGCGTTGAGCAGGTTGTCCTTCCCCGTGCTCACAAACCACTTCCCTGGGACACGAGACAAAGTGGGTGTCAAGGGCTGGGCCACTATTCACGGGAGGTGAGCATGGGGGAATAAAGCACAGGGATAAACCTGAGGCTATCCACAGCCCAGGCAGAAAAAACAGCCCGTGCCTACCGCAGGAGGCGAATTTGAGAGAGAGGACACAGCTCTCGTGGAGGTGCAGCTGGTACTTGTCGGGTTTGCTGACGTGCAGGATCTCCACGTTGCTGCTCTCCATGCCCACCGCCAGCCACTCCCCCATGGGGCAGTAGCCCAGGGAGAAGATCTGAGGGCACAGACAGGCTCACACACTGACCCAGCAGGTCCCAGCTGGCCCCAGGGTGCTGCCGGAGGGCTCCAGCCCTACCTGGGAGCTGAAGTCGTGCTGCTGCAGCTGCCGGCCCTCCCGCAGGTCCCAGCAGCGCACGGTGTTGTCCAGCCCCCCTGTCCACAGCTTGGTGCCATAGTTAGAGATGTCAATGCAGCTGGCACCATCCGTGTGACCTTGAAACTGCCTGGGAAAGAGGGGGATGGAGAGGGCGAGGGCACAGCTGTCAGGGCAGCCAGCTCCAGCAGCACCCAGCAGTGAGGAGCTGCAGGGACAGGCACTGTCCCATGGCCAGGGCTAGACACAGGGACGTGCTGCAGGGGACTGAGGGGTCCCTGGCCCGAGGAGCCCCAGCAGTCCTGCCCACGCTGCCCCTTGCCCGGACTCACCTCACCAGTGTCTGGTTCTGCAGGTCCCACACCACGATGTTGCCGTCGCTGCAGCAGGAGAAGCAGACTTTGGCGTCAGGGCTGATGGCCAGGGCGTAGCAGGCGGGGGCAGAGGAGGTGAGCTCGGCCTTGATGCGGGGCGTGGGGGCTGCCAGGTCCCAGATGGACAGGGTGCTGGCCTCCCCGCCCACGATCAGGCTGCGGCCGTCGGGGAGCAGCTTGCAGGAACGGATGTAGTTGTCACGGTTCTGTGACAGGCAACAGGGCCAGGAGCACATGATGAGCACACAGGGCCTTGCAGGAGACACTGCAGATGTGAAAGGCCCCTCTGTCCCCTCCACATTGCCCTTCCCAGCCCCAGCCCAAAGGCATTTCTCCTCCTCCTCCTCACCAGGCAGTCCAGCTGAGCCACAGCCGTCTTGGTGCCCGGCTGCCCCACGTCCCAGACCTTGACGCAGCCCTTGCCCCCGGTGTAGACGTGTCGCGTGGAGTTGCTGATGGTGACGGCGCAGACCACCTCGCCGTGGGTCAGGGTGTGCAGCTGCCGCGCGTGCCGGGGGATGCCGGAGCCGATCAGGGCGTCGGGGGGGAAAGGCACCGGCTGCATCTGCCCGTCGGCGCTGACGTGGAAGGAGTAGGCACTGGAAGGGAGCAGAGCAGTGAGAAGCAGAGCAGGGAGAAGCAGAGTGGAGCAGGGAGAAGCAGAGCAGGGAGAAACAGAGCAGGGAGATCCTGCATGGACAGCAGCCGGTGCCACATGGGTACAACACAGGCAGCATGGTTGGGAGTCAGAGGACATGGAAGAAGGCACTAGAACAGAGCAGAAGAGAGCCCTGAACACCCCCTATGTGATGCCCAAAGGCAGGAGGTGACCTCTCCGTTAGCCACGCTCAAGCCATGGTTAAAGGTGCCCAAGCCAAGGTGGAAGGTGCCCGTTGTGCCCTGGCTAATAAGGAGTTTAATTACTCAGCTCCTGGTTACCACCTGGTTACTGCCAGCAATGAAATGGCAGCACTGCACTCAGGATTGGAGAGCAGCTCCCCCTCAGCCCAGCCCTGCCCTGGGTGAGCCCTTGGCAGGGAGATGCTCCCAGCTCCCACCTCAGCCCCTTGCCCTCACCCTCCCTGCAGCCCCAGCGTGTGCAGCCACTTACGGCTTCCCCCCAGGGATGGTGGAGAGCGAAGAGGAGAGGGTGGAAGCCCTCAGGTGAGGGTGAGACTCAAACGCCACCTGCACAAAGCAAAGGGCACATGAGGAGCAGAGCAGAGGACACCAAAGATGGGCTCAGGCCTTTCCCTGCACACCCTGGCACCAGCCAGCCTGGCTTTGTGCAGACTCCCTGCTCGCTGTGTCCTCCCACGCAGTGACAAAGCTCAAAATGGGTTCCCACAGACACCAGTGGAACCAGCAGAGGCTTCTCTGAGCACGCTAAAGCCACCAGCCTGTTGTATTGCTCTGGGAATGGCTTTTCCCTCCCCAGAGACCCCTGTAGATGTGACCTGTTAGTTTGATCCTTCCTTCCTTTCCTGAATCAATTGGCTAGGAGCCAATTGTACTGAGCTTAGATAAGGCTCTGTCCCATCCTGGTTCACCCTCTTTCCCCCTTCTTCCTATGGAATAAACATCTTGGACCACATCGGGGGTTGGAGCCTCTTTTGGAATCTTTTCCCAGCTCCTGCTACACTTCCCCCCAAGGCCTCGCAGATCTGGGCTAGCCTGGTAACTTCGGGGGGTAGGTGCATCACCAGCCCCCATCCCAGCCTGGACAGGAGCCCTTCCTATGGCTGCACCCCAGCTCCAGCCCCAGACAGTGCCTGGGGAC